CTAAACCCTAAACCCTACCTAAACTGAACCTCGGCTTCCAGGGCACCACTGGAAGGACACCGCCGTGCGCAAGAGCGTGCCCATCAGACCAGGGTCTTCGATGTAGTCCAGACACAACCTGGGTTTAGCGGCTTTTAGGGTTTTAGGGTTTCGGCGTTTAGGGTTCAAGGGTTTAGGGCCCTAAGTACCTATGAAGTATATATACTTAGGGTCTTATGTAGGTACTTTAATGCCGAAGGAGCGCCTAGTACATGCTATATAGGTACATGGAGCCTTCGGGCCTGTCTTTAGGGTCTAATTTAAAGGAAACTACAGGTGGGGAGTTCAAGGTATATAGGGCTTCTATAAGGCTTCTATAAGGTATATAGACCTTCTATAAGGCTTCTATAACTACCCACCTGAAAATGTCCTAGCCTAAGATGGCTTTCGGGTTTAGGGTTTAGGGTCCAGACACAACCTCTTTCTTTATAGGGCTGAAGGTTTCGGGGCTTAGGATTGAAAACAAAGGAACTTTGATTTCTTAAATGGGATTCGGGTTTAAGGTCAGACACGACCTCTGGCTTTAAAGGGCTTAGGCTCTTGGGGTTTTGGGGGTTTCGAGTCTGTGGCTTGAGGAGGGCTCCGTAGACCTCAGGCTTGATGACTTCGTCTGGGTAAGGGTTTAGGGTTTAGGGTTTAGGCTTTGGGCTTTCAAAGGGGTATCGAGCGCTTTAACTCTCTTCTTCAACAACCAGGCACCCAAAAAGTTCCAAACTTTTCAGGATAGACCCAACATAGTATAATATAGAAGGCGCAAAGAGTTTAAACCTAAACCCTAAACCCTAAACCGTGAGATTGGCGATCCCAAGTTGAGGTGCACCACCCTCCGGCAGCTCCGTCAGAAATCCGGCTCTGGGGTCTCAAGGGCTTCGAGAGTGCTACGGGCCGAAGCCTAACCCAGGAAACCCTAACCCTTAAAGCCCTAAACCCTTAAAGCCCAAAACCCTTAAAGCCCAAAACCCTTAAAGCC